AATGTTGCATTGGCAAGCACAATTCGTTACTACTCGGCCACCAGAACTCCCTTAGGGAACAATGAGGTGTTTTTTTTTTAAATCTGTATCTTTGTACATGTCTAAGTCTTTTTGCCAAGTATCTTTCTTCAGAGGTAAGGAAAGGTTTATACACAGAGTGATTATAGTATACACAGAGTGACTACAATAAGGAGTTGATCAGATATTGTAATTAATTAATTGTTATGTGTCATCAAAGTGACTATGCCTCATAGCCATTCTGTGCACAAGCTGTGAACCCTGCTTTATCCTAAGCCAATCTCACTGTCTCTGACACACCTACCCCTATTACTTTAGTTATTAATTATGTTACTGAATTATGATTAAGGTTATAAAACAATATGTGTTTGAATGACTGAAAAATGAGTATGATTTGTAAATTTTCAATTAAAATAGAAAAAAGCCAATGAGTTCAATGGAGAAAAAATGAAATACAAAGTAAAACAAAGAATATGTCTCACCACTAAGCCTAGTTCTGAGATTTCATAAACCCATTACTATAGAGTTGATTCTGACTTATCACTGTAAGACAAAAGTGAACTGCCCATAGGGTTTCCATAGCTGCACTCTTTGGGAAAGTAGAGTGCCTCATCTTTCTCTGAAGGAGTGATTGGTGAGATTAAACTCCCAGCCTTTCAGTTACAAGTCAAACTCTTCAACCTCTGTCCCAGCAAACACATTCTTCAGAGACAAAAGGGAATGAGAATAGAGCCTCCAAGAAGACATAGGCAATTTTCATACTTTGTACTCTTTACATTTCGGGTGTCAGGTTTGTTGCAGGTGATGTGTGTTTAATGAACTGTTTTAAAGTTTTAAATAGGTGAGTTTTAAGTAGGAAAGAGATAAGAAGTAAGTAGTTCCTTCTGTGTATTGACCCATCAGAACTAAGAAACCTTTAATAGCACTCATTTGTCAGTCTTCTCCTGTGGAAGAGCTTCAGAGTTGTGGCCACCAGTCTTGAGGCTGCTAACTGTGTATCAGTGAGCAAAGTTACAGTTTTTGTGAGTTTTAGACTCTGAAACATACATAGTCCTTTAATGTTCTAAGACAGTGTCAGGCTAATGTGATGCCTGATTCAGTACATACCCAAAAGTTTGTCCTTTCGTATCTCTTACTTTGTGAAGTAATAATCCTTACGGAAAATGAAAGCGTTTCTGGATTTTTATTTTTTAAAAAAATTCTTCCATAATAATAATAATAATAAAATTCTTCTATAATGCTCTGTCCTCAGCATTTGCCCTTCTGAAATATGAATATTTTGGGGCTTTCTATCAAACATGGATCTAGCAAGAGTTTCTGTCAAACTCTTGGTATCAGTAGCTAGGAAAGAAGAAAACTAATTGCACTGGGGAAGTCTGCTGTCAGGGTCCTCTCCAGAGTTAGGAGGAGCAACAGTGTCAGCCTAGAAACTAAGGAGCACCTGACTTTGGTCTTTGCAGTTGCTTGCTGTGCATCAGAGAGCTGAACAGTGAATAAAGATGATAGAAGAAGAATCAGTGCCTTTGAGTTGTGGTGCTTGAGAAAAGTATTGAACATAACATGGACCTCCTAAAGAACAAACAGATTTGTCCTAGAGAGGGTGAAACCAGGCTGCTCCTTGGAGGCAAGGATTTTAGTGACAGTTCACACTTTAGCTCCCAAACATCTGTTATCCCCTACATGCACATTCAAATTGACACATTTATTCCAACAAACATTTGAATATGATATAGATAAGTGTTTTTCCCCCCACTCCATCCCCAGCCACTGCATAAAAGCATCATTCTTCCTCCATTATCCAGTCACATGTTGAAGGATATTGAAGCTCCGTCTCACATACCAGTCCTTGGAGAAGAATATCATGCTTGGAAAGGTGGAAGGACAGCGCAGGAGAGATGGGCCCCAGATAGATAAGATGGATTGACACAGTAACTAGGGTAATGGCGTAGATGTTGTTAGAGACAGTGAGATTGGCTCAAGATAGAATGGAGTTCAAAGCTATTGTACATAGAGTCAGTATGAGTTGCAGGCCACTTGATGGCACATGACAACAGCATCAAACATAGGATTATACTAGCTCTCTGACTATTTGGTTTATGAACCAACAGGTGAAAGAAATTTGCATTAAGTTGTGCCACTGGGAGTGGGTGATGGTTGTTAGCTGCCTTCAAGTAGAGATTGATTCAAACCTGTCCCTCCAATTGTTTTTTAGAGGCAGTAAAATCACACAGGTGCTTTCAAGTATTTTCATAGTAACTCTCTGAGGTAGTTGCTGCTGCTGTTAGGTACCATCAAGTATAGTAGAGACATATGAACCATGGGTTTGAACCCTGCTCTGACCTGTGCCATCCTCATCATCCTCATGAGCTTGAGCCTGTTGCTATAAACAGTGTGTCTTCAGTTCGTCACATTGAGTCTTCCTCTCTCCCACCGACCCTCCACCTTTCCAAGCATGATGCCCTTTTCCAAGAAATGGTCCCTCTTAAGAACATGCCCAGAGTTTGTGAGGAAAATCTTAATTATCCTTGCCTCCAAGGAGTATCTTGTATGCACATTCTCCAAGACATATTATTTTGGTTTTTTCTCAGTCCCTGGGAGTACTCTTTTTCAGCACCTCAGTGACATTGATCCTTCTGCTACCCTTATTCATTGTCCAGCTGTCAGAGGCATAACAAGTAATTGAAAAGATGATGGCTTGAATCAGGTTCACCTTAGTCTTTAAACTAGCATCATTGCTCCTTAACACCATACAGAAGTCCTTATCAGCAGAGTTCCTGCACGCAGTACATCTTTTGATTTCTTATTGCTGGTGCCAGTGGTATTGATTGTGGATCCAAGCAAGATGAAATTGGTAACAACTTCCTTCCTTTCTCTATGTTTGTGGTTGTCTGTTAGCTCAGTGATGAGGATCAGCTTGATGTTGAAATGTAATCCATATTGAAGGCTGTAGTCTTTGATCTTATGCAGCAAGCATTTCACATCTTCTTTGCCTAATGGCAAGAAGCTGCTCTGCAATCTGGAAGGCACACAGTTCGAATCTACCAATTGCACCATGGGAGAAAGATGCGACAATCTCCTTCCATGTGATTAGCTCCCTCTGAAAACCCACCAGAGGGTCAGCTATGGGTTGTTGGTTCTTGCTCAATGATACACAGCAGCCACACAGTCTTTGATCTTATGCAGCAAGCTTTTCTCATAATCTTTCCTTTTGGTAAGAAAGGTTATGTCATCTGCATGTTACAAGTTGATGAGTATTATGATCCTAATACCACACCTCCTCTTCATAAAGTTCTGCCTCTTGAATGATTTGCTCAGCATACAGATTGAATAGGTATGGGGAGGAGATACAGCCCTGATGCATACCTTTCGTGATTTTAAAACATGCAATGTTTAAACACATGATTTTAAAGGATGCTGGGCTGGTGTTATGGGGTTGTTTTGTGATTTTGTTGTTTTTTTTAAACCTTGCTCTGTTTGGACAACAGCTTCTTGATCTAGGTATAGGTTTCTCATGAAGATAATTAAGTTTTGTGGGAGTCCCATTTTTCTCAATTTTAGGTTTAGTTTGTCTTCACATCAGATGTCTTTATGTAGTCAATAAAACACAAATAAACATTTTTCTGATATTCTCTGCTTTCAGCCAGAATCCATCTGATATCAACAATGATATCCCTAATTGCCACAACTTCTTGTAAACCCACCTTGAATTTCTGGCATTTCTCTGGCAATGAACCAGAGAACCAGTGGCTGTTTTTGGATGATATTCAGCCAGTTTGTATTTGTTGTTGTTATGTGCTATTGAATTGCTTGTAACTCATAGCGACCTTACCTTACAACACCTCTGAACCCTGTTCTATCTTGAACCAATTTAATTGTGTCTGACACACCTACCCTCATTACCCCAGTCACTGAGTCAATCCATCTCATCCAGGTTCTTTTTTCTCATGTCCCTTCTGGCAATATACTCAAAGTATGTCAGACAAAGCTTCAAAGTCCTTGCTTCAGCCTGGATTTACCCACACCAGGACGGACCTGTTTGTTCTCTTAGTTGTTGTTGTTATTTGGAACTGTCAACTTTCGAACAGCAGATCTGAATCCTGTCCTATCCTGTGCCATCTTTATACCTCCTGACACACAAAGACCACTACAGCAGTCACTGCATCAGTCTACCTGGTTGAGGGTCTTCCTCTCCCTTGCCAACCCTCCACCTTTCCAAGCAGCATATCCTTCTCCAAAGAATAGCCCCTTGAAACAACATGCTCAGAGTGTGGGAGGCAAAGATGATGAGGCTCCAGAAAGCACTCTGGCTACACCCTCTCCAAGACATATTTGTTTGTTCTTTTGGCAGTCCGTGGAATATTCAGTACTCTTAATAAGATGATTCAACAGAAGGGGGAAATTGTTGAATGATTTCCCTTTTAATACTGAGAACCATTGAGTCAGAACGCACCCATAGCTGACCCTCTAATGGGTTTTCAGAGTCAGTAAATCACACAGGAGGAGATTGCCCTTTTTTCTCTCCCTTGGAACACTTGGTAGATTCACACTGCACACCTTAGCATTGGCAGTGTAATTCCTTACCACTGAGCCACTGAAGCTCCTACTAGGATGGAGATCAAGGCATGAGTAATGTTTCCTGGCTCCTTGGTGGGCTTTATGTCTAGGGATCCAGGTGTGAAGGTGAGGAGCTTTGTTTGACTGACTTTCTCGGTACAACCTTTTAGATCCAGACAGGAAACGAGTCCTGAAGCAATGAAGTAAGGATGTACAGCTTAAGGATGTTCAGCACCAGGAACTCGTGGATTTTAGTGTCTCAGACTACCAGGTTGCTTGTTCTATATAACAGTAAATTGGTAGTTTTTCATCATTTCATCAGTCAAGTACACTGAATTGAGCTTACAGGTTGTGCCATCTCTGCATTTTTCTTCACTGTAGTGGAATTTTCTTCTGATCAGTTCATGTTTTCCAACTTTTCTCCCTAGTGGCTGGTGAAGCGAGCCATAGAAACTAAAGAAGAGATGGGCGACTATATCCGTTCTTACTCCATATCTCAGTTCCAGAAAACCCATAGTCTCCCAGAGGTCAGTATGCTGGTTTTAATTCTGCGTATAGAATGGACATCAAGAGACCACTTAGGAGTGGCCATGAAGGTTCCATATCCTATTCTACTGGGCCTCACCCAGCTAATTGAAACTGTACCACCTTACTCATGAATCACTTACCTACATAGGCACCAAGTTTAAAACCCTACAGATTTGTCCTTTTGTTTCTTGGTTTTTTGGTTTTTTTAATTTTTTTTATTTTATTTTATTATTTTTGTGTGAGTGTACCGTCGAATCAGATCTGACTGGTACAGGAGGAGATTGTCCCTCCTTCCCCGGCAGAGCATCTGGTGGATTCGAACCATGCGCCTCTAGGACTGTAGTTGCAGCTCCTTACCACTAGGCCACCAGAGCTCCCCTTGTTTCTTTTTTTTTTTAAGCAGTATTCTTTTGTGAAAATAAAAGGTTTTGTTTTTTCAGATCATCCCATAAAAAAAAAATAGGTAATTGAAAATACAAAGGGATACAAGGAAAAGAACTGGCCATGTAGCCAAGCACTATTAAAATTTTAGTATATTTCCTTCATATTTTTGCAAATATTGTTCTGTACTTGTGTTCACATGGGTGATTTTGTTTTCTTTCTTCAGGTAATATTTTTAAAATTAGTATGATAGTGATAACTATTTTTAATGCCCTTATAAGCCATTCTGTTTAGATCACATCATTTATTGTAATAATTTTCTTTATTAGGCTTCTATAGGCACTATGCAGTACTTGTCCTTTTGTGACCGAGATATTTCACTCAACATAGTGTCCTCCAGGATCAAAAAGGGTGAATTTCTAATGCAGGTTTCTCTCTTTTTGTTTTACTCTGCTTACTCCCTGCCTGCCTCTCTTATCTTTCCTGATTCTGGGCATGCCTCTCAGTACTTTCCGGCCAATTAGAGGCTACATCACTCTTGTACTTTATTTGTCTGAAAGAACTGCTTTCTTTCTGAGCTTTAATGTGTCACGTTACATTGTGAAACATAACTGAGTTGCATTCTGTCCTGTGTTCTAACTAATTTCTAGGAATGTTATACAGAAATAATGATGCATGAAACAAAGTTTCAGAATAATTCATCTGACATGAGTTTTGGTACTTGTTCTAGACCTTTGGTCAATTTTAAGACCAAGAATATAGTTTAGTATAGTCTTGTAATTCCTTTTGAAGAACCACCTATGTAGAGCATTTCTGTAATAATAATTACAGCAACAGTAGTAATAACCAGTCTCAGTCAAATACTTTGAGTCCTTGGGTCACACAGAGAGTTAAGTGTTCAATTATTAGCAAAAAATTTGGCACTTCTAAATTCTCAGAAGTACATCAGAAGACAGACCTGATTTTCTGCTCTTAAAAAGTCATAGCCCTGCACTAAATACAGACAGTGTTTGCCATAAAGATGATACTCTTGAGGCAGCTGTCTTAAATAAAGAAGAGTAAACTTATTTTTTATAGAGGGTGAAGGATGTTGGAAGGGTAAGGATTTAGAACTATCTGGAAAGAAAGCCTACAGTCATGTACATTTTTCCCTCCGCATAAGAGAAAAATGAGGATTTTGGAAATTTGGATCCCTCTTTGATATCAGAGATTTAAAGAACACATTTTTAGTTTTAACCAGTTGTAGTCAAAATGCTACAATAAAACAAAAAAAGAAAGAAAGAAAATAAGAGCATTTGACTCCAGCACTTAAAATGAAGTACACATAAAGTTTAAACTGGTTATGACAAAAGCCTATAGTGGTATTTCTTGAACGATAAAGAAAAAAATTTTTGGCAGTCTTTTAAGTATATATAGCTTAAACTATAATTTTTAGCATTTGCCACCATATGTATGCCATTATATTTGATTTTTCTGTACTTTTTTCACAGTGAAGCTTTGTTTAAGGCTTTGAGTTTATGATTATGGAAAAAAAATAAGACACAACCACAGTTTTTTCTTTCTTTCTTAAATTTCATCACTGTTGATGTGGTTCTTTTGTGTGTTTTTTTTAAAGTGCAACTATCAAAACTAAAAAATTATAGAGTAATATTGCCATTCTACTGATTTTAAATATACAGTACATCATACATACTTTACAAGCAAGTTAAATGGAGATAAAGTTGAAATCATAGAAGATGCAAATGGCCTTTCAAAATCAACACAATGTGTTCTGAAACTTTTTGTGACTAATACCATGCATCTGTGATCAATGAACTATGGGTTTTTGAATCGGACGTAGACCATTAGTACTACTACTTGAGCTAAACTTCTCCATGGTTCATAATTTTTAAAGTGTGTAGTTAATATTATGCATGTTACTGTCCTTTCTTCCATTCTTACAAATATGTGTCCATTTGCAAAACAAAAAGCTAATAATCTGTAATAGTCCTATAAAAGATGTTAACTATGTTTAGTCATTGACTGATCTTGCTCTAACCTTAAAATTTTGTGATTATTGACCTTTGTTGCATTTATTCTAAAACCCCTCCAAAATTATCTAGCTGTTTTGAATATCAACATTACCCTTGTGTATTCACTACTGTATGCATTATTGTTCTCTGTTGCTGTTTTATGCCTTCATATTAGCAAAATATGAAATTCTGTGAAGAAGAAGAAAACCTTTGTTCTTAAAAAATAAAAAAAACCAAAAAAACCCCCACAAAACAAAAAAACTACTCCCCCCTTCTGTAGCAAGAAACAAATTGCTTGTTCTTGAGAACTTCCCATCAAGAATTTAGTAGAAGCAGGTATACTTATATCATTTTGATGTTTTTGTTAATGTTGCCAAACAATGTTCTTTGAAATCAGAATCACTTCTTATTCATTTTCATATAATTCTTCTGATGCTGTTCATCACACATTAGTGATCAGAAATGAGGTGTAATTCCCCAATCCCTGCCCGCAAGAGCTAAATAGGAACTTACTGTAAGTTGAAAGGGAGTTTTGCCCTAACTCATGGATTGTGCAAGAATGAACTGCTGTTGGGTTTGATTGATTGTAGATGGATTGTGGTGTGGTGTATTTGAAGGCTATTGAATGCAGCTTACAATGCTTAATAAAAATCTTTATTCTTTTAGTATTAAAAAAAAAAGTCATACCCTTGAAAACCCTGTAGAGCAGCTCTGCTCTGTGTGAAATCACATGAGTTGGAATTTACAGACAGAAACTAACAACAATGCCACATACCTAGTACATTATTGTTGTATACTGTCCGGTCAGAACAGACTAATGGCTGATCCTGCAGCAAGTTCTCAGAGGCAGTAAGATCTCCAAGTAGGAGACTGTCCGTCTTTCTCTTATGGAGCAGCTCATGGACTCAAATTACATGCCTTTCAGTTGACAGCACAGCTTCTTAGCACTGAGCCACATTACCTGTCCATTATTTAATCCTCACAAATGCTCCCTAAAAGAATCTTTTTTTATCCCATTATCTAAATAGAGAAACTTGCTTCAAAGATTAGGTAATCGGCACAAGGTTTTGGTGCTGATAAGCATTTAAAATGACAGCTCTCATCTTAACCACTGTACTTTCTGTGTTCCATTTTTTTATCAAACTGTTATAGCCATCTGCAAAGGTCTTACCCTTTTCCATGAAGAATATATTTCAGTTTGTTTAAAATTTGAGACTTACCCAGAGTAACTATTAAAAGGTAGATTTCTTAAGTAGTGCAGTGGAGTTTTATCTTCATAAAGAGTTTAAGTTCTCTTTTGTCTTATAGGATGATGACTTCATAAAGAGAAAAGAAAAGGCCATCAAGACAGTTATTGACATTTCCGTAAGTTCCCTACTCATGTTCTTATTCAGTAACTCTGATTGAAATCACAAAAATTATTTGCTCTTTCGGGAAACTCTGTCCTCTTTGTCCAGAATCAGGTGGCCACCAACTTTGTTGGGTATAATTTGAACAAGGCTTTAATTCCAGTTTCAAAAAAGAAACTTTACAAACTCAAAGGCCTTTCACTTTCACTTCAGTGGTAGATTAGAAATTTGACGGTAAACTGAAATTGTAAATTGGTTTTGGAGAGCCAGAATAGTTTTTGAACTGCATGTACTTTGTCACCATACAAGTGTACCTTAACCAACAACTCAAGGTGGATCATGGACCCAGGACTAAAACCAAGGACTATAAACTTCATTCAAGAAAAGCTTGGAAGAACTTTAGTAGTCCTAATCCACAAC